CTTAATGTTCCATGGTAAAGTTAGTTTAGTAAACACAGGTGCTGCTACCCATAAACTTCATGCTAGCACTAGTGGCTAATGATAATTTTTTTGTAGCCTACACTGAGTGCATCCTCTCTGACAGGATTTCTAATGGTTCGTCATTTTGTCATTTGCATCATTTTTCACACAATAAATGCACAGAAGTCCAATGTTACCCTACAGTATCTGGAAGACTGAATAGATCTGATGAGCAACTTACAATAACTTCTTATGATGATGTAACGTGATAATATGTGTGATTGACTGTGACCTCTCTCTCTCTCTCTCTCTCTTTGATTTAAGAATTGTTGCTGTGGTGGAGTTTACGTTTTACAGTGTAAACTAAGATTTTGGAAGTATTTTAAGTGTCCACTCTCACTAATTTCCATTAACCTGGCCTCAAGGTATTGCACACTTAAACATTCAGTACACCAAAAAAAATGTGGTGGGCCAGTCTAGTCCAAAATGCCAGGGCCGATTTTTTGTCCCAGTCCACCCCTGCCTTTGAGTCAATGATTCGATGGAATCAACTGGTTTTCCTTTGATATAACATTTTGAATCAATTTGACTGTATGATCTGAACTGTAAAGTGTCTTGAGATGACATGTGTTGTGAATTGGCGCTATAGAAATAAACTGAAAAGAAATGAATAAATAAAGAGGCTAATAAAAAGTGATATATACATTTATGTCTCATTGTATAATTTAATTTCCACCTACATTTATTTGTTGTTTTTTTTGTGGGAAATTAATTGTATGCTTATTATTTACTGAGCATTTATTATTTATTATTGGATATTACTCGATCATATACAAACCAACTAGACGAGCTTGTCTGGTTAGTCACTCTGGGTGAAAAGTCAGCGGGCTGGCCTCTAGCTAGTTTAGCTTTTATTTTGAAGGCCGGAGTTTAATTAAACCTCCAGGCTCGTCCTCATCACCGCGGGTTGGGCTGTGTCGGGTTACAGGGGTGTGGCGCCACACTCAACCATCATTTCCTAATTCATCCTCATCGCTGAAGAAGGAAGCGCAGCCATGGCTCAGGGTCTCAAGGAGAGATTTGACAAATTCCTTCATGAGAAGAACCTTATGACTGATATTCTACAAAAAATTGAAGCCAGAACTGGAGTAAACCGGACGTACATCGCTGCCGGTGAGTAGCTACGCAGGAAAAAAAAAAAAGTCATAACGGTAATGAAAAGTCATCGCAGATTGCGAGGCTGTTTTAATGGATTTCCTTCTATTTAGAAATTCTTTCGTTCATTTAAAGTATAAGAACAGTAACGATTGTGGTCAAAATCCGCAGTGTTTTGTGAAAAAAAAAACGTTACATCCATGGCAACGCGGTGTGACGTGTGCTTTCTTTTGTCTTCTTCCGCCCAGGAGTCATAGCTGTGATCGCAGTTTACCTGGTCATCGGTTACGGTGCCTCTCTGCTGTGTAACCTCATCGGCTTCCTGTATCCAGCCTACATATCGTAAGGGTTTGATTTTCTAACTACTGTTCTGGCCTGCAGCCCCTCCCTGTGTAAACTCACGTAACCAGAAATAAATATAGGCAGAGCTACGTCATCATATTATTTCTAAAGCATTTGTAATGCAGACTCTTATTATAGTCCGTTATTTTAAGGTTAAGCTCATGCTAACAAAATGTTTTTTTTAATCATCTATTTTTTCATTCTATTTTAAGTCGTAGGGAAGTCAATTTTAATATCAAATAATTCTGGCATAAAGATGTATATAAATGTACTCTTTATAAGACCATATTGTCCCAAATTAAGAACATTTTTTATTTTTAAGAAAATCCTGTCTTTAAAATCTGTGTTTTTTCCATTATCTTATGCAGGCCAGTTAGTTATACGTCAACCTGAACACCTAAATACGGCCAATCATATATCAACAGTCATCTGTCAATCAATTTTTTCGGTCATAGATCTTGATTCATATGTCGCAGCTAATATATGCAATGGTTGACATAAGAATAATTTCCTTTCCCATTGAGTTCCGTCCCAGTGTTCACGGGGATGGACGTCTGTGTCTTCAGCAGGCGTAGAGCTAACAGAACTGGCAGCGTTGCGAGGCAAGGGCTCAAACATGTACGGCTGGAAGCCTTCTACACCAAACCAAGCTTCTGCCGCCCTGGCGTCCTCTTCCACAACATCTTTGTCCCCGCTTTCCTCCTCTAAATAAAAAATGGATGGCGAAAGAGACTCATCCACGACCTCCTACACTAAACTCTGCTCCTCTTGCATGTTTCCGCTGTCCATAGCGTTCCTTGACAGTGTCGTTTAGTGCTACTTGCTACGTTCCCAATGGAATTTCCCATTGGGAACGTACTAGCATTGAGTTGCTAACTGGCTAGCAAGATGCTTCCGAGACATCAGCTGCAATCAAACATGCTTGTGAACCTTCCGCCACAACAATCCCGGCCCCTTGACAAATGACTAATCACATTCACTTTATTCCCTCGTGTAAAGTCGGGCACATCTAGGGAGAATTCTGAAATGCAACGATTGGAACAGCCGATTCCCTACGACTTTAACCCATTCAAAGGTTGTAGGGCTTACTGGTTATTGGAGATGTTCTGTCACAGTTTACAAACAGAAAATGCTCCAAACAAAAATCTAAAATTGGACCTGTCTTCAGCCAGTGAACTTATTCTCTCATCTCAAACGGTCAAGCAACAACGATCTCAAAAAACAAAAGGGGGGGAAAAAAACATATCAGTTTTAAAATTTCCTGTTTTGTGATTTTTGAATTGAATAAAGCTTTCTAACTTTAAAGCTACTAGAATTATCCTCCAAGCTTAGATGTAAAACCTGTTAGAAAGTTATTGGACTGTACCTAAAAATGTTTGGTCAGATGGTATGAGAAAGTCTGCATTTGACTATGAATGAGCCTGTATGCATAATTTTAACACCATATGGATTTAATGTAACTAAAGTAATAGGTGGGCTCAGGTCTTGTTTAAACTTCTTGATCTTTTTTTTATAATCCAAACGTGGTATTGCAGGCTAACAAAAGAAGCCAAGCGACCCCCATTCCAAAGGGGTGGACCCATTCATCCGTTTCATTGTTGTCTAAGATGGATTGTATTTTAACTTTTTTGGAATCACTATGACCTGTATGGCTGTGAATCTTCACCAGCATATAATCCAAAAAAATTAATCCTTCAAAAAATATTTTAGCATGTATGCTGCGTAGGTGTAGAATTCGTCTAATAAATTAAGATGTATAAAAAAAAAAAAACAACAACTGGAATCTATAAAAAAAAAAAAAAAGTCATGAATTTGTTCAAGTTAACATGTTTTCATTGATCTCTGTCTAAAATGTCCGGTTAAATATGGACCTGTAGTGACTTGTTAATGTTTGGATTTAATGTTCTGATTAAGTTTAGTCAAATTTGCTTTAATCTCTGCAAGTTGCAGAGTAGGAAAGGCACAGGTCCAACCGGTAATACAACATCAACGATCCAGTGGAATTTGCTCAGTAAATGCCTAGCTTTGCCTTTAAGGCTTCACTGATGTTTAGTCAGCCATGATGCAAGTTAAAATGTTAGATCTTGCAAAAGACAATATAATGAGTGGAGGCTGAACAAATCAACGGATTAGCATTTATAGACACAATGGTGCTCACAAACTTGGGCAAATTTCTTGAAAATTATGCACAGCCTGATGCAGTGTGGACAGCGTTAAAGCAGAGTAATAAATATTATGTATTGACTAGAAATATCAATTTGAATGAGACCACTCAGCTAATAGAAAAAATTGTGAGTTATAATAATAATACATTATATTTTAAAGGCGCCTTTCTGGACACTCAAGGTCACCATACAAAAGATAAAAACACAATGGCAGTTATTAATCATGTGAACTAGCTGCTTCTGCTGCTTGCGATCTGAACGTAGCATTATGGTTAAAAATGCTGTGCATGTAAATGTTCTAACAAAGCCTAAAACAGCAGTGTTTTCATAAAAAGGTCAGGAGCGGAATGTTGGTGGGTTGAATTCTATGGAGGATAAAAAGTGCC